ACCTAGAGATCATTGCATCACTATATAAACAAAAATATACAATTTGAAAAAACTGAGTGAAGAGGAAAACAAAAAAAATAAATTAAAAATGTTTAGTGAGTATGTATTTTTGCATCAATGTATGGATTGGTGCCTGTAGGAAACACCTCTGTCTTTGGTGTACTCCCTGGTTTTTCTCACCTTTGGAGAATAGTAAATCCAACATTCTGAGAACATTAGTTGCACTCAATAATGTTATTCATTTACCAATTTGAGAAATTGTAGTTGTAGATACTTGTCCTCCATATTTACACATTCTTTTAGGAATTTTCAAACATCATCACGATATGGTGCAAGATGAATACAACGAAATTGATGAGAAAACTACTACAAATATGGCAAAGTCAAATGTTTCTTTAGATAATTCCATGTTTCAAACACAAGTTAGTGAACTTAAGTTTGGCAAAGAGAGGAATTCTTTTTAACGAATTGACGAAACTGAAGGATCTTACAGAAAAACAAAAACATGAAGTCATAGCAGACATTAAAAGTTCAAGAATATAATCCAGCAAAAGCACCAGTTGGAGAAAGGATTCGGCCAATGTGTAGATGAGAGGTTTTCTTCTATCAAATGTCCTCAGTTGAATATGGGCTGGATACATATCGAGGCAGCATGCAGGCTGGTCAAAATATAGTAAACTCTCAGAGCTGAGATTGAGTGTTGTGGGTGTAAGAAAATAGTTAGAGTAAGTCTTGCTCTGAAAAAAGGTAATATCTTTCAAAGGTAAGGTATTGGAGAAGTAAATCTTCCACTGAGAACCAACAAAACCACCTCTGTGTATTAGTTCAAGATATTTCAACTGTTTTATGACTAAAAGAATAGCAGGGAGGTCCTTGGACTCAATGTTTATAGTGAGTATATATCAGTGTAGATATCATAAAATTTTTGAAACTTAAATTGAATAAAAAAAACAAACATTATCCTATATGTTTGGTATTAGGGGGACTGTGGCAAGGCAAAATAAAATTGGTGAAGCTTTAAAAATAAGAGTGCCTGGAAAAGTGAGAGTTGCTTCAGTTAATACTGTGGTCAACCTATGCAGACAGAGCCTGTGGGAAATATTGGGTGCGGAGCAAATGAGCGGAGGGTGCGGAGCTTACGGTCATTTTTGAATTTAAATTTGGGATATTTCTGAAACTAAGTCGCTTTGGGACTTCAAATATACCAAGATATGTGTATTTGACACCAAATATCAATACAATTGTGAAAATAGTAGCGCAATTCATTCTATAGCGACACAGTGTGCCTTAAACCTTTCCCAGACCTATATATTTTGAAATTATCCTTTTAATACTGAGTCCCCAGCATTCATAAAAATGGTGTTCAAGGTACACTATCTATACAAATTATTTTTGCATCTTGGAAGCCAGGCAGTTTCTGTGTGATTTTATAAAAATTCGGAAATGTTTTTCAGATATGAGCCCCCTCTAAATATTGGGTGCGGAGGAGCTCCATAAACGTACCTCGGCACCCAATATTTAGAGGGGGCTCATATCTGAAGAACATTTCCGAATTTTTATAAAATCACACAGATACTGCCTGGCTTCCAAGATGCAAAAATAATTTGCATGGGTAGTGTATCTTGAACACCATTTTTTATGAATGCTGGGGACGCAGTATAAAAGGATAGTCTCAAAATATATAGGTCTGGGAAATGTTTAAGGCATAATGCGTCGCTATAAAATGAATTGCACTACTATTTTCACAATTTTATTGATATTTGGTGTCAAATACACATATCTTGGTATATTTGAAGTCCCAAAACGGCTTAGTTTCAGAAATATCCCAATTTCAAATTCAAAAATGACCATTAGCTCCGCACCCTCCGCTCATTTGCGCCGCACCGAATATTTCCCACAGGCTCTGTCTGCATAGGGTGGTGGTGTGAAATGGTGTTCCAAACTTGAATAGCGTCATCATGACGTACTTGAAGAATCAATAGCTTTCTAAATTGCAAAATCAAATACCAATTAAAAAATAGAGAGATTTCGCACATAAGTGAAAGTACAACTTATACGTATACGTATAGTTTAAAGGGTCATGTTGAACTATTATATTTACTAAAATCAATTTTAAATTGTACTTAATGGAACATAACTATTTCCGTTATAGAAAATCTCCATCAACTAGAGACTATGAATGCACTGTCATCTGCACGTGTAGATTATGCACATTATAATTAAATGCTTGCTTCCGTGTCCTTGTAGTTGTCGTGTATTATAAACACGATCCTTTAAAGGGAGTCATTACATAAACAAGTTGATTATTTCAATGTTTTCATGATCAGTATAAGTTCAATGAACTTACAAAACGGTATATTTACGTAGATGATAACGTATACAGTTGGATCTCCATATAAAGATTTGCCTACATGTGTGTGGAACAATTGACCGCAAGCATTTTTTCAAATTAATTGGCTGAGTGGGAACAGTATCCAATCAAATACTTTAACCATCAATTTGAAACACCAATCAAACCAGTAGGTTCTAGCAATTCCTGGAAACGACCCATTCAGTAGCTCAACATATGACATACAGGGTGTTTCATGACGAGCATCTCCAAAAAGTCAATTTGAGAAGAGATGGGTCTATAACATATGTACTATATATGAGCCTATTTTATTCTAGACAAACACATTTGGATCAACTAAACATGCTACAATTCAAGAAAGTACAAATGGCATCCCTTTGACCTGTATTTATTACAGTCCGAGAAGATCTTTCCTGATGAAAAGCTCACATTATGAAACACCTTGTACGTTTACCTATAAGTATAAGTATACGTTATAAGTTGTGCTTTCACTAGGTGCGAAATCTCTTTAATAACTATAAATTTCATAATTACATAAGACCTTCAAGCAAATATAAAGTCCTCAAAAGTGAGCTTTTGGAAACAAGTGATCAACGTGAGAGTAAACATTTGGGTGCAAAAGAAACTGAGATTTAATCAAAATGTCAGTTCTTGAGAGAGATTAGTGAATCAGACGCTGTTAAATCATCATCAAAAGTTACTGATTATGTTAACAGTTGGGAGAATGCTGCTAAATCTGAAGGGATTATAAAAACAGATGTTAAACATCTGGCAAGTGGATTGAGGTCAGAAAAAACTTTTGAGCAAAAAATGGTGCAATTAGATTACTCCCCACCAAGATCAAGAAATTAACAGTTCATAGACAAGCTCAGTACTATACTCTTGGACTGACATCCTCTTATGTTGAGACTTTCAACAATGCCAGGAACATCGTTCAATTTTTTGGAAATGCCCAATTTGAGCTTCGATCTAATTTTGCAATATTACACTAGAATAAAATTGTGGACCAATGATTTACAAGTGTCAGTGAACAACAGAATGGATCAAATGTATTTGCGATTAATGGATGATTGTATATTTCTTTAAATAAATTAACTTGAGTGTGGTAACTTGAGATACCACTTGGCGAAAGTTTTTGTATTTAAATATATATTGTATTTTTGAAAGTGGGAACTTTGAAGGGATGGAATGTTATGAAGCGATGTTTCCTCCTCACATCTGGTTTGGTAACTTGAGATAACACTAGGCAAAGGTGCCATATCTTAAGCGCAAGCCATGAGGCATCTCAGTTTAGATTTGAAATTCAACATAAAAGGTCATGAAACCATAGCCTTAATGAAATAAAATTAATAAAATATATTGGACTCAAAATTACTTGTTTGTTAAAATGTAACACAATAGTACATCACAGTGTATTATTTACAAACTTATCGGAGCCCCATTCTCATTGGTATTGTGCTGCAAATTATCTTCGTAGCATGAGTGAATACAAAAATATAGATGAGGAAATACGACAATTCTTCACATTCAAGAAAAAACAAGTCTTCATATAGCATACTACACTAGACAGTGTACTAGTGACTATAAGAAAGAACAATTAGACAAGAAACCAGTGTTAAAAATGAAATTGAGAAGATCGCCAAGGTTAGGTGATCACGATTATACCAAAGAAATCATATAAGGTAAGTGATCTAATAGCATACCACCTACATTTTGCATTGTAAAAGGCAGTTAGGGTAGGCTGCATTATGTCTTCCGCAGTGATACAACCCATATACACATTATGTACAGAATGTGGTTCTAGGCTAAGGTGGTTTATGTTGATAGCTGTTATGACAAAGGTAAGTTTGCTCCTATACCCCTTTTGTGTCAACATCCACTCCAGAAACAGGAAGGGTGGATGGTATTCTCAAACTGAAAGACATTCTGGATGTCATCTTAGTAACCATAGGGTAGTTTCGCAAGGATAGCAATGACAGAATCCTGTGTGGTCCGGATAATAAAATTGGCAATAACCTTTTGTCTCTTGTCACAAGAGGTGGAAAATATAAGAAATTTCTGTCAAAATTCCCTTTACTACATTTGATGAAATGGAAGATTAATATCTTACATCAAGAGATGTATGTATATGCAAGATGATTCAACTCACGAGTGATCACCTTGTCTAATTGATACAGTGACCAAATACATCAGAAGAGTGGAACTCTCTCTTAGACTAGCTCTAATTGAATCATTTCGGAAAAGACATGCTTTTGTAGCTGACTGGCTAAGAAGCACTAAGATTCAAAGGGATGCTAAATGGATGATCAGTTTGAACAAATCATTGAAAAGGCTGTAAGTTGTATGCTTCATTCCAGCTGCATGAAGACATGTTGATAAACTACAAGGAGGTGGCTGCACTGTCAGTGTCTGAGAGGTTAGGTAGAAAAGGGATTCAGCCTCCCTCTTGGCATTGTGGAATCATCCATTTCATTCCTGTGTCTCAATAATGGTACACCTTCGACAATGTGAGAGGTATCACATTCCATTTTCTCATTCCATAACATTTAGTTGATCCTAGTTAGCAAACAAATCAATAAGGCAAGTCTTAAATATGTTTATTAACATGAAAGAACCTGACATGCCATAAAAGATGCATACTAAATGCATATCAACAGGAAGAAGGAATTACCATCATGACAGATGCTAGACACGGTTGCAGAAAGAACGCTAAAGACTGTGATATAGTTTGCATTGGTGAAAAAACTCATCAAGTCTTACATTCAATCCATGTTACAAAGAGAGATGATCCCTGTTCACAGCGACATGAAACATTTGGCAGTCGCAGAATGTATGATGATTTTGAGAGGCAAAATGTGTCTATTGGTACACACGTTCACGATTGTAATGGTGCTGTGAACTGTCTTGTGAGAGATACTAAGATATTTACGGACAACCAAAATGACTCATGGCACGCTTGCATTGGTTTAAAAAGCAAATTCAAAATGTTGCGTCAGGGCCTAAGTATAAGCCTGGTCAATCATTGCATGCTCAACTGGAAGATAAACCAGAAGCAATAAGGAAATTTGCTTATACAGCCATGAGAAATTGTGATGAGAATGCAGAAACATTAAGATACATGCTGGCAAATATGACTGAACATTTCCAAAATAATCATCAAAACTGTTTTGATCAATCTCGCTGTCGACTAGATCCAAACTATGAACCAAGTACAACTGTTGTGAGAAACGATGTTGCTATTCGACTATTAAATGATACAATTAAAAAAAGGCCAATCTATAAAAACGCACATAATTACACAAAGGTGCTTTTAACAGCATATGTTGAACGTTTTAACAATACACTAAACATGTTCCAGGATAAATGGATTTACTTGCAAGATATTCAATATGAATTTAGCTGTGTTATACTGGAATGAGAACGTGGACAGGGCTTATACAAGCTTGTTCGAATCATAATTTTTTTGGAAATGCCCAATTTGAGCTTTGATCTAATTTTGCAATATTACACTAGAATAAAATCGTGAACCAATAATTTACAAGTGTCAGTGAACAACAGAATGGATCAAATGCCCCCTTCAGAAATGGGAAAATGCTCAACAACCACCGCATTGACCATCACTTCAGCATCAGAAAGATATGGGCTTGGAGTTATCCTGTGTGTAAGCATTCCTTCTATTACTGCAAATGTGTATATATTGTGTGAATGCTACAGAGAATGTTACATTCCCCAATGAGTTCCATATTGACAACTGGATGTGTAAACCATTGTGTGGAGTCTTTTCATAGTCTTCCTCACATAGGAAACTCGGTTCTTGTCAGCACTGAAGCCAAACAAATTGATGGAAGGATACCACTACTTTTAACAAACTTAAGTGAGACGGCCCATTAGTTCATAAGAACACACTTCTAGGTTTAGGTGAAGAATTTACAGGAGCTGAAAACAAATTTAAGGTGAATTCAAATCTGAGTTTTAGTCAGAATTGTGCGACAACTGCCAGTCATAGCAACTCTCATAAAAAGTCCAAGTTTGTTAATGACTCCGGAAATTATTTGTCTCATACTGAGACCATTATTCCTATTGAGGACACAAAGAGCTCTCCATTTCTCTAAATGACCTCATTATTGGAATCTAATATGGGAATAGTTAGTAGTAACAAACGAAAAAAAAAATCAGAATCATAAGCAAGCCATGCACATGTATCAAATCCACATTGGATCTACAGAAGCTCTAGCTTTGAAGACCTTGCTAGAGTTAACAGATAACAAATATGCTGAATCTGCAAGATTGTTGCTTAAATTAAAATTATTTTTATCAATGACAACGATCAAATTGTTTAAAGTGGTTAAAGTGTGCTCATGTTCAATTGAGTATAAGAACTAAATTTTACAAATACACATTTTTAACATGTACTTCAGATGGTATTTTTTGTATTTGCGATTAATGGATGATTGTATATTTCTTTAAATAAATTAACTTGAGTTTGGTAACTTGAGATACCACTTGGCGAAAGTTTTTGTATTAAAATATATATTGTATTTTTGAAAGTGGGAACTATGAAGGGATGGAATGTTATGAAGCGATGTGACCTCCTCACATCTGGCAAATGGCATTAGTCCTCTTTTGAATAGATCAACAGTACTTAGTGTGCATTTGCTAGAAAATATTTCCTCCTAGTGCCAGGTTCAATTTACATATACTACATCACCGTCAGTTGTACGAAATAACAAACAGACCCGTAAGGCTGACGGGAGTCTGGAGTCACATGATTTGTCATGTGACTTGGTATACTGATTCTCGATCAAAATGGCGGTCAGTAAATTGGCTCAAATGTTATTTCTTGATGAAGTTATGGAAAGATTGAGTAGTTAGAGCGAAAGTTTAGAATCTTCTGATGACGAGGAGGTGCTAATGTTAATAGCAGTACTGAGGAGGGATATTCCTAAAGTAAAGTAAATCGTTTTGACGATTTGGAATTTCGGAAACATTTCCGAATTGGAAGGGATGAGTTTGATTAAAAAAAACCTATTAGGCCTGGATATAGAGTATTTAGATCTAATAGTTTATCACACTAGTTAGACTTCGTTTTTATTAAAATAATAACAGAGAAGAAAATTCTCATTGGACTGTGGTATTTTGCCAATAAAGAAACAATTCAGTCACTGGCTATAAAGTTTGGCGTGGCTAATTCGACAGTGCACAAAATTATCCAGGAGTTTGTTGCTCGTGTGATGACTATCAAAGATGAAGTGATACATTGGCACTCACAAGATGAAAAAATGAGGCAGAGGAGACATTCCGTGCATTTTGAGGTACATGTATTCACATTTCAGCACTACCATGTTTTAGCCTCCCATCATTCAATACATGTAATAAAGAACTACTTTTTGACAACAGGATCAGAACAAAAAAAATCCCACTTCTAATTGATTGCCATGAACTTGTTTACATTAAATATGCTTGATACTTTCATTCTAATATTCATGAAACTTATTTAAATTTAAATCCTTTTTTATTCCAGGCATACCAGGCTTAATTGGTGCCATAGATGGGACTCATACCCCGATTCCAAAACCTTCTAGGGCGGGGTCAGATTACATCAATAGAAAGGGGTTTTCGAGTATAAATACACAAATCACCTGCAACCATGATATGTTGATAATGGATGTATACACAGGGTTTCCTGGATCCATGCTTGATGCAAGGGTTTACAATAACTTTGACCTTGGAAAGGAACTGGCCAATATGATTCCAATATAACGAATGCACACTTAGTAATGCTTGCAATGACTGTTACTAATCCAACAATAAGATTATTCCGATGGGACTTTTTGGTAGCTCTTCATATACTGTCAGTTAATGTAAGTATTACATATTACCTTTACTTTCCAATGCATTGTTTTCATAACTTTTATTTATTATTTTATTACTTTCAATACAGAATGTAAATAACAAAGTGAATAAAAGATGTTTTGATCTGAAGAATAAGTGAAACAGATACTTATATTATGTTGTTTTATATAGCTCATTTCTGCATGCATGATCAATGATGAAAAAACTTGTTTTTAGCAATTATCTGTTCCTTTACAAAAGTATAAAAATTTCGAAATACTCAAATTGCTCATTTTTGCAAGCAATATTTCAATGCAACATTCTTCATTTTACCGTTCACATTAAACATATTGAAAGTAGATTATGACATCTAAACTGTTTGGTGTTTTATAATTGCCAATGACACAACATTACTTGAAAAGCATTGTGTTTGTCTTTGTTGATTTTTTAAAACAGACGTTTGACATAATAAGGACATTTGAAACCTACTTTATAGATAACAGACATGGCACACAAGGAGGAGTGATCCTCAGACTTGAAAGAAGACCAGCTAGAAACAGAGGTATTGGCAAGGGATGTTCAGTTCGTTTTGATGCCCTGATTGACCAGGTAATTGAACAGCAAGAAGTTCCTAAAAAGAAACAACTTCTACTCAATGTAGTGATTTCGACAGTTCCGACAATGAGCCACTGACCAATATAAAAAGAATACAAAAACAACCTACTTTGAATGATTCTGATGATGAACCACTCATTAACCTGATAAATTATGATTCCCCACTTGATGACACTGATGAAGATAAGGACTATAATTCAGAATTAGATGCATATTCAGATGTTTCTACACCCATGGATATAGAGACATCATCTGATGATGAGATCCCTGTTAATCGTCTAAAAAAAAAAAAGAAAAAACGTAAGGTGGAAAAGGGGAGAAAAAAGGAAAAAGGATTAAAATCAACCACCTTTTGTATTACATAGACGAGAAAAACAACCAAAAGAATGATGTAAACATGAGTCAGGCGAAGATACAGCTACGCTAAAGCAGGCATTAGATGAAAGCAGAATGCTTGCAGAGAGAAACAACAAGATATGCCAGGCCCATGTAAAAAAGCTAGTCCCTACTGGAAAGCAATGGCCAGCTTTGGGTAAAGGTCCCAGGCGATGGTAATTGTTTTTTCCATGCTGCGGGCTACATCGTGGACAAAGATCCAATGCAGCTCAAATCCAAGTTATGTGACCATTTAGTAGCCTATAAGGAAATGCATATTCGTTTTGTTGATCAATCTGAAAGCTATGACCAAATGATTGATCAATTAACACTTGCATTTCAAACGCTATATTCCTGCCTTGGATATTTCTGCAGAGATAAGATGATTAATTGTACCAGGCCTGTTCTGTTTATACTCATTATCATATGATTATAGCACTAGCCCACTATTGGCTGTTGCTTGAGTCACGTGATCCTACATCCCATAATAATTGCTATAGCGACAGGATGCTACACACAAATATACTACAGATTCTAGTTCAAAATTACTATTTTCATTCATGATTCTTGGTTCTGACCAGCTGTTGTGCATATATCATGTGTAGATATAACCACTTAATTCCTACAAGACCAAACTTTGTAAATAGACATACTCTTTACAGAGATATCTTTGGTCTTATGTTGGTACTTTTGGAAGAAAAATGCAATTACTCCCAGAATGTGAGACTTCTGTCATCTAAACAAAATAGTTCCTCAAATTAAAAATTAAATTATGTACCCTCATTAGAAAGTTTAAGGAGTGCTCTATTGAAAATTACTTAGAAAAGTGTCTCTCATGATGTAGGTTTTGAGAAAACTGCAACGAAAAAGAGTGTCTTATTTTAATAAATGTTTTGATTTTATTCAAAGTAATATCTATTTAGACAATATCATGATGAGATATGTAGGATTTTAAATCATAAAATGGATGTAAACATACACAACAAAGCATTAGGACTACTATGCAGACTTTGTGGATCAAAAATACAGAATGCAAAACAAAGGATTAACAAAAAATGCACAATTAAAAGATGCAAAAATGCTGAGCAGGAAATTTTAGAAAAACTTTCCATTAATATTAGATACGATTGTGATTAAACAGTTAAACCAATTAAACAGTCTGGATCTAATAGCATAAATTGCCTTGAAGGATTAGTCCATGAGTTTGATCAACGTTCCACCCCAGCAAAATCTTCAACATGTGTCGCAACACAGGTGACTCCCGGACGCTACAGTTCCGTTGAAAAACTTCTTCAGCCAATTAAAGATGGTTCAATGACAAAAAAACAAAAGAAAGCTTTGCGATCATTATCATATATGGCTCTTGATAAATCAGGAGATGGAAGCTTTGAAGTTGATAAGGTAATTTTCACTGATTATAAATATAAACATCTGGGTAATTAAATGTCAATTTTATGCAATCAACTATCAAATCATGCTGGCATTATTCTAACCATACTGTGGATGATATAAAGTTCACACTACATCATTTTACATCATCCAGTGTAAATATTTAAGGACAAGTGTTGGTTAAATTTTCATGATCATCCATTTTCATCCCCTATACTTTAATATCCATTATACTAGCCTAATTGAATTTTTTTATATATATCCAGCGTACGACCTATATCAAGGTGCCAAAATATAGGGTAAACAGCACAAAGGCAAATGCCAAACAAAAGGCCCGACTTATGTCAACTGTCACGGAACAAATGGCATTAGTTTCTCCCGAAATATTCAAAT